CAACCCTGGTGGTTCTAGCTTCTTCTTGAGCCATCTCTGTGGTGTGCCTACGAATACCTTCGGAAGCGGGTGTGAGAAAATTCAAGAAATGTTGCAGAGGTGTATCGTCAGCAACAAAGGAGTTAACACTTGGAATGTTTTGATTTTTTGCAAAGAAGTAGGTAAATCGAATAATACCAAAAGCCCAAGGCTTGCCCGTATTCCAAGGGTCACAATTAAATTTCGCCAGTTTGAAAACTTTTCAAAACATCCGCCAAAACTGTCTTTTCAACACCCATCATGACCTATCGTTTCGTTTCTGGCCCAACGCCTAATCTCCATCCCCACGAAATGCTGCCGCGCGTACGATCACGATTCACTGCCACCTCCTCTTACCTTGTCTTTTCCACTTCAAGTCATCACGTGACATGCCGCCTCTTGAGCCCTGCGCCCCCCCACCTCAACCTTCACTGTCGGTCCTCCTCATGGTCGGCCCTCCCACTCGGCCACCCTTCACGGTCGGTCCTCCTCATGGTCGGCCCATCCACTCGGCCACCCTTCGTGGTCGGTCCTCCTCATGGTCGGTCCATCCACTCGGCCACCCTTCGCGGTCGGTCCTCCTCATGGTCGGCCCTCCCACTCTGCTACCCTTCGCGGTCGGTCCTCCTCATGGTCGGTCCTTCCACTCGGCCACCCTTCGCGGTCGGTCCTCCTCATCTTCTCCATTAGTATTCCCTTCGTTAGGCTAAAGCTGCACTTAGGAATGGGGGACTACTGACGTGGTTAGGCCCACAAGGGTCATAGCCCACTATGAACAACCCAAGCCCATCACTTAGAGCCCAACACAGAACCCAACTGATGAGATCCTGAACAGTTGGAAGCTAACATGGCACGAAGAACCAATGATATTCAGACATGTGGCAGGTAAAGGACAAGCCACATCAGCAGACAAAGATCTGCAAAGTTATTGCCACTGCACATCGCCATTAATGCAGTCCATCACAGCATTTATTACGACAATACCTCTTCGTCGGAACAGCACCCCCTCACCCTGAACAAGGTAAGTTACAGCATAGACTTTCGGCCAAGGTGGCAGGTCGGAAGGGACGGCGAAATGATTACCAAAGGATATAAGCAGACGTTGAAGACAAGAAGAAAGTTAAGCTTTTTATCTCCATTTCATATCTCTACATTTCACTTCTCTCTTTCGCTAACTTGCTCGTCGGAGGGTTCGCTGGGGGACTCCCCGTTCTCCTGTTGAACTTGTGTGCAGGTTCTCTGGTGGGCTTGAACACTCAGTTACCGGTTGAAGAAACGTGGATTAGTCTGACCTATTCCACATGGGACCTGTTGTATCGTAACTGTATCATCACATTCAAATAATTTTGTCATGTTCCCTTAATTTAGAATTTTTAACCCTCAAAATTAAAATTATTGTTCCTCAATTTTGCGTTTTCTCATCATTTTTGAAATTTCACTTTTTATTTGTAGTAGGGAACAAACTAAAATCCATGTATTAAACCACAAAGAAATCGACTGTTTTTAAGCTAACATTGAAATAAGAACATTACCGAGAGAGATGAGAGTGTTTACGGGTAAAAATGTTGAACCTGTCATTTTCACAATAAAAATTATAAAGTGAGGGACCTTATGAGCTAAAATTTGTTCTGGGCTTCTCACAAGATGCAACTCATTTGAGGAAATTTTGGCCAAAAGCCCCATTGCAAAAACCAGGAGGGAGATCATGCAGAAGAGCTCCTAAAGAAATAAGAGGTGTTTGGGTAGAGGGTTGGGCTAAAATAGCTCACTAAAAGATAAAATGGGTTAAAATAATTAATTAGATAAAATATCACATTCAACTCATAATTATTTCACTTTTTTTCTCACAATTATCAAATCAACTACAAAAAAGCCCAATCAACTCCCGAACACAATTTTTTTAGTCAGACTAAAATAGTCAAAAAGTTAAATAGCCAACTTCCCAAACAAGGCCATAGTCAGCAAAGGCCCGGATAACATAACTTCGATTTCTTTAATTGAAGGGATAAGGAAAGTTGATAATTTTATGGTTAATAATGGTTCCATGATTAAGTTTGTTTGCCAATTATTTTACCTTTAGTAGAAAGATAACTTGTAGAATAGTTTTGAAAATCAGCCAAAGGAAATCTACAGGCTGATCTATCATGCCATTGTTAAATTAGTTAAAGTAGATATTGAAAATTAAAAGGGATTTTATAAAGCCTATATGGTGGGATTTAGACATGCCTTGTTATACTACCTTACAACCTACTTTACTTTTTTATTCATTATTTATCGGTCAAGACTTAACCCTGTCTGCTTTATGTTGTGTTTGGTTGGGAGATTTAGGGAGGGATTTGAAAAGAGAAAGGGAAAGGGAAAAGATGTGTGAAACTAGGTGAAATGTAGGTATATTTTATTCACATTTCACCTAACTTTTTTATTTTTTTTTCTAAATCTCTCCTCAAATCCTCCAATCAAATACAGCGTTAGGGTTTTATTTTTTACAGGGCAAGCCACAAGCCCGGACAAAAGCAAAGTGTTGTGCTAAGTCAAACCTTTCTGAACATGGTAAGAAATTTTCAGTTGAGTAAATTATTAGTGAGTCTGTTCTTTGTATCTACAATACAATCCACTTCAAATATGTTCAAATTATAAAACATTGTATGAAGCAGCACATACTCGCACGAAAGAGTGAATACTTGGAGAAACAGAATTGCTTAAAGGTTTTTGCAAATTTTTACCATTTTAATTCTTGTTTGTTGATGAAACAGTTGCTGCGAGGAGATGCAATATATGTTGATAGATGGTGCTTAAAAATTAAAGTTTTTTGAAAGATTAGTATTCAGTGCTTGGCTAGTACTTCGTGGATTTGATATATATATATATATATTTTTTGGTTGCTTCTCTTATTGAAAGTTGCTTCCTTGTTCTGAATTTGCTAGAATATTAAAACCAATCAGGTGACTATACTACATGAATCACCGATAGAGTGTTGTTTCCGTGTTGGATACTAACACTTGTTCGATACTTCTCAACACATGTATTTCGAAACTGGTTTCAATAACAATTTTTTTTGTACACCACTATCCTATATTCAGTAATATTCACTACAATATATAAGAGTTTTAGAAATCAAATGTTTTAGTCTCTAAAAATGAAAATTTTGTTGCAAAAAACAATTAGGGACCAATTTCTATCATTATGATGATAGTCGATAAAAGATTATCCCGAAAAGTAAAAAATAAGGCTTTTAGTGATGAAATTTTGAAATGTCACTAATAAATAAATTTTTAGGAATAAAATAATTTAGTTTCAAAATAGTTTATTTTTTGAAATAAAAAATTTGGTCCCAAAAAAATAATAATTCATTACTAATGTCCAATTTTTGTTCTAAAAATATAATAACACCACTTTTCGCAATAAAATTATTTGGTCCCTAAAAAAAAATTTATCCCTAAATTTTGATTTCTAAAACCTTAATTTTTTTGTAGTGGTTCCTGCAATCTACTTTACTGGATTATATACTTTTTGGTAGATGATTAAAGCCAAGAGGTGATTTGAGTTTTCTTGAATGAGTGGGTTCATTTTATTTGGTATGGTTAATATATTGGAGACATGTCAATGTTCCACTACTTGTTAATGGGGGTATTCACCTGCCATTAATTTAATCTTGAAGAGGCAAGGCTTTTTTTCTTCAAGCACCAGCATGGTTGTCTCTTTTGGTGTACTAAAATAAATAATCAACCATGGTAATCTCCTAATAATATCATAGATTTTTGGCCATTGATCTTCAGTGGCATCTGTTGGGATCTGGGATCCCGCCCAAGACCTTATAGAAATCATTGCAAGCAGAAAAACACACCCACACATAAGGAGACACAATATTTTATGTGGTTCGGCCCAATGCCTACGTCCACGGGAGAGTAACCGGTTATCACTATACCAATGAGGAGATTACAGAAAGATTACAATAGAGGAGGAGCTCACACTCTCCTCACTCAGCCACTCACCCGTCTCCCTCGCTCACACCGAGGGAGACGGTCTCTCCGCCTCACATCTCTCGCACTCTTTGTTGTCTCACGGTTTGCTCACATTTTGCTCTCTCCTCTCAACCTCCATTTATAGGTGAGGGAGTAGGTGGGAGAGCCTTTGGGCAGCCTCCATCCTTGACTCTTCAAGATGGTTGGTGGCCTTCCATTGTTGACCAAGGTGTGTTCCCATGGAAGAGCATCACCTCCTTCACATGGGGTGAATTCAACAGCATCGACATCTTTGGAAGCTGAACTAAATCATGGACCTCAAATTAGTACCATAGGTTATCAAATTCTCAATGTAATTTGATATGTATCAGTATCCTTTTCATTTCACCTAGGGATAATCTTTTCTAGTGGTCCGTAGTCTTTTTCTTTTTGGTACATCAGAGGCCGTAGCATAGGGGACGGGGAAGCCTTGTGTGTGAAAAGATTCGAGCTCATGACCTCCTAATGGTGCTATAAGACGAACCAAGCTACTCGAAGTTCGACTGTGTTCGGCTCGTTGAAAGCTCGTTAAGTTTCTAGTTAAGTTTGAATAACGTACTACTCGACTCTATAAGTATATATACAATAAAAATTATAAAAATTAAAAATTCAAGTTGCTCAAACTCGACTCATTAAAAACTCACTCAAGATTTGCACGTTACGTAAATAAGTCGAGCTTGAATATGTTTTGAAATTCGTTAAGTTTTTAAATCAAGGTTAAACAACCTATTATACGACTCGTTTGCAACCCTACCTCCAGTGTGATGCAAGGATTTTGGCCAGCTAAACTAGTCCCAGTTGGTTATGTTGTGGTCCAAATTCTTCAAATAATACTCAAAGGTCGCAAGATGCTTGTCTTTTGCGATTTTGTTTGTGGAAACATATGCACCATGCACTACTACCCATTTGATTTGATGCCATTTAACTTTTTTGGGCATTAGCCTCTGCAAATACAGTACTTCCATGTTATTTAAACTTTGCATGAGCATCGCAACCAAAACACCCCCTTGGTCACTGAAACTAAAGCTTCTTCAATGGGCACATTTGTGGGGCATATACTACCTGGTTTGGCCATGGTTCTTCTTGGCTTATGGCACACCATCAACACAATCAATGACTACTATCTCAAAGGCTCTCCAAACTTTGTTTCAACTTTCTGGTACCCATTCAAGTGCCCTCTTTCCAAACTCAAACACTTGGAACTCCTGCTCATCCTATCTTTCTCCATCTTTGCCATTTGCATGGAAGTCTTAGACTACCCTTTCTTCTGTTTCTCCTTCAAGCTCGACAATTTTGAGCACGCAACAATGTTCCTCCACCTAGCCATATTTGCAGGATTTACCCTCTGTGCCGAGTTAACTCATTCATCTGATATCCTCTCCGGGGTCTCTGGAGTCCTGGCTGCCTCTGTTTTTGGTCAAGAGCTTTTCCTACTTCACTATCACTCGGCCGATCATGTTGGCCTCGAAGGCCATTACCATTGGCTTTTGCAGCTCATAGTGTTTGTCTCCCTCGTGGCCTCTGTGTCTTCAACTAGTTTCCCTACCAGTTTCCCTGCAGCACTTGTTCTCACGATTTCAGTTGTTTTCCAAGGTTTCTGGTTCATTAACATGGGATTTATTTTATGGGTTCCAGAGTTTATTCCACGGGGATGCGTTGTTGCGCGGTTGGGTGATGCTGGCACTGACAATATGCAGGGGGCAGTCATGTGTCAGACGCAAGAGGCCAGTGTGAGGGCGATGGCACTGGCCAACATGCAATTCAGTTGGATACTTGCTGGGATTATGATTTTCACATCATGTGTTTGCTTAAAATTTGGTAGGAACTCTAAGCCAAGAGGCCAGTCAAGTGAATATGAGCAACTTCATAGCAAAGGTGGAAGTGTCTCTGTTGCCATTACTGGCTTCAAGCAAGCTAATCCATGAAATATTGCAGTATATGTATATAATGTTTCTATCTTATATCTAAATGGACTAAATTGTATCTGAACTTGTGTGAGTCTTGGTAGTAGGATTAGATTGCTGGATATGCTGTTATTTTTCAGCTTCTTAGAACAAGTACTTGTGAGCTGGTGTGACCAACCCAACCTGGGCTTGTTCGTTTGCTTCTTAACAATTGTAGAGCATGGAAGAGAAAGAGACTATTCCTCTTGGTGGTTTTTGACTCTTTTGAAAACCATGAAATTTGTGGCTGCCATGAGGACACGTGTCTCCACTATAATAATGAAAAGCATCTCTCGTGGAATAATTATTTTGTTTTATTAGACCATTACCTGTCCAATATCAGTATAAGTATAAAGAGTTTGAGTCAATAGACTAATGTGCATCAGTATATATCAGTAACTATTGAAAGTAGAAAATTTAGATAGGTATCAATAGAAAAGCCAAAGCATATGCCAGAAAGAGGAACATCTAACCATCATTATCAATGGGAAAACCTAAAGCATACACCCAAAAGCAAAGGATGAAAGAGTAAAAAAAATAGAATAAAATAAAATAAAATAATAATGACAGATTTCACTAGTAACCATGATTTCATCAAAAAAAATGTTGGGATTGACAATGAAAGAAATTCATAACAATCAAAAGCAACTGTGTCATCGTCAAATTAATAAAATTTCCTATGCAGCTGTTGCTTCTGAATCAGCACCAACATCAAACTTGTCTGATCGTCGTCGTTTTGATTCATGTTCTAACTCTTTCACAACTTCGCTGAATCGTCGTCGGCATGTTGGCAGTCTTGAGACTGTCAAACAAAAACCTTGCAACCTTATGAAAATTTAAAGATCATTACTAGCTAAACCATGTCACAAATCAAAAGGGGGAAAACAATATATCCATTGATGGTGGGTTGCAGAATTCAAAACAAAAGTCAAATAGAAAATATTTTTTTATGGTCAATGGAAAACAACTTATTTGAACAAGAAAAGTGTTTTATCAATTTTGAAAGATGAAATTTTTTTTTTTGACTTAATTCTTACCAATGCCATCACACTATCAATATCATGGTGCCACCACTAAGGGTCATCATGTGGCCCACGGGCTTTTATTTGGCATAAGTCCATATCCTGAGTGAGCTAGCCTGACTCGAACGAGGCTTGATCTAAGCTTGAGCCTTGAGTTTAAAGCCCAACAGGCCCATTGGCCCATCAGAGGCAGCCCGTTGTCCAGGCTGACAAGTTGGGCGGGAAATATGAAAAAAAAATCCAAAAAATATAAGCTTGAATCTCAGTTCTTCATTGGCTCGTGAGAGGCGACCATATTGACCCAACCCATGAGTCTGTCTAGGCCAAGCTTGGGCCTAAAGTTTTGGCATGCGAACAAGACCAGCCAAGTCCATTAGATAAAAGTTTGCAGGCAAGCTTGGACACCATTTTTGCGGGACCAGCCTAGTGCCGACCCTCAGTACTTTCACTAGCACAGTAGTTTCAAAGTCACGACCAGATACAAAAAAACAGATGTTTTTTTAGGAAAATAATCATCGCCGAAACAAATGGATCATAATTTTTGAAAAAACAGGTATTATAGGTTATTGTACCTTCGACTTAATCCCTCCAATTGAGCTCTTCTAATGTCATCTTGTGGGGGGAAGCCACCATTTTGCCAAGCTTGAATTCTCACCATGTCGCCACTGTATAGACAAAATTTGTAGAGATACAACTCTTCGGTCTCTGTCAAGTTTAGGCTCTTGAGCTGCTCTTTCATGATGCTCATGGGCTCAAACATCCAATCAAAAACCCTTCCCTCTGGCCTATTCAAACTCGTTAGTTCACTATTGTCACCTGATACAATTATCCAAGAACAGTAATTAAGATAGAACTTCATAACTGGACATGTCAAAATAGAAATTTTGTTTTCATTCAAAATATGTTACTAATGAAGTTGAGACTGCACCAACGATAGAAGAGTTTTCCATCAATTAGTCAGTCTAAAAAAAACCATTAGTTGTGTTGCCCAGTGATGTAGAAGAAGTAGTTCATGGAGCAGTTGGATCAACAGAAGTGAAAAGGGAGATCAAACTAAGCGCAGAAACTTAATTTTCGTAGCAACTCAGAATCCCTTCAAATTTGGTAGCCTAATTGGAATCAACATTTTAAACAAGACTCGGTCAAAGAAGAGATCAAATTAGGGGTAAAAACATAATTTTTGGAGCAGCTCATAATCCTCTCAAATTGGTGATTTTGCTTATTTTGAGTTGGATTTAAGTTTTGTTTTAGTAATAACTATTGGAATCATACGTGTACGTCCACATGGCCAGTGCACGACTTTGTCTCCCCCAAAGTTTCTTGGGAAAAGGCTTTGTACTAGGAAGATCTGAAGTCTTTGCTCAAATGGCATTAGACATCCTTTCCACATTCGAATTGGCATTATAAAACAATTGATAGATAGTATGCCGGATTTAAGCAAAGGCATACGCATCACAAATCCAGGGGAACCACTCTTGATGGAGCGGAGAAAGCACTCGAGAAATACATAAGCAGGAATTCCGATGTTGAATATCTTGGTTTTTGAATGTTGCCATGCCTCCAGATCCGATATCCCAATGACTTCATCTCTGAGGAGCTCTTTCCCAATATGCTCGCACGCTTTGATGAAGTTATTCCATATCTGATTAATGGATTGATATGCCAAATGTTAGCTACTTTTCAAAGCAAGTATTGGTGAAAGAGACAAATCATAGAGAAAAAAAATTGCAACAAAATAGACAGAAAGAAAAAAAAAAAGAAAAGAAAAGAAAAAGAAGCGCTAACATACTAGATATATAGTTATCTGAGACATTTTAATGCTAGAATTCATTTATATAAATGGAATAAGCTTGAATAAGTTTTATTGTTCTTACCACTACAGCACTGAGTGTCTTTTTCTTCTCAGAGGATATCCTTAACAAAGGTTCCTTGTTGCGAAAACTGTCAAGTTGCTGATGTAATCCCTTTATGGGAAGCAGTGAAGAAGAGGTAGTTGCTTCATCCCGATAGTTAGGTCTTGATGAATTATATTAAAGAAAATATAGTTACATTATATCTAATAAATGAGGTTAGCAAAGACTGGAAAAGACTTTTTGTTGTACTGTATTGAAGTTATCACCTTGGAAAGCAGGACCCTTCTTGGAGGTAAAGGAAGTTGTTGGTGTACTCATCAAACAAGGATACAGAAGCAACTACATAGAGCAATCCGTTCTTGGTCGAACTTTCCTGAAGCAATCACAACGATAAGCTCATAAGTTTGTAACTTGTACCCTACGCACAGAATGCCTAAAATGAGGCGATAAGAGTGAATAAAGCGCCTCTTGATGACTAGTGTACTAATCAAACAAGGATAGAGAAGCAACTATATAGAGCAATCCTTCCTTGTTCAAAATTTTCTGAACCAATCACACGATCAGCTCATAATTTTGTGACTCATACCCGAAAAGCCTAGAATGGGGTGATAAGAGTGAATAAAAAAGCCTCTAGGAAGTGAAAAAGAACTGTACAATTTCAAATATAAAAACCATATAATACCTGATATGCAACAACAGCAGCATAACATCCAAAGAAGAAGCTCGAGACAATCCCTGCAAAGGTAGACAAAATAACAGCAGCTGGCCACAACAAAATCAGAAGCCTGGCAAAGGGGACACAAACAGTTTCCAAGAAAGGCCCTTCTCTTCCAATAAGATCTTGTACCAGCCGGTGCCATCCTTTGAACAACATGATTGGAGTCTTGTAAAGAACTATTACAGTTACAAAAGGCACATCAACCATAACTCCTAGAATTGCACACAAAATGCACCCGGGTATTTGAGCAATCCTACATGGAAATCAATATACGACATCATCAATTATCACCTTGACAACATTGGTAAATCTAAGCATAGACTCACTTTAGTTCTATGGGATCTTCCCCTTTTGACTTGAGCAAACCATCCATGAGTGAGAAGTAAGAATGAAACGAAAAGTCTGCAAAATGATGGTGCAGGCTCCCCAAACAGTGGTCCAAGTACCATCCTGCACAAAGTTGTCGGTGCACAATCACCAAATGTTCTCTATATCTATCAAGCAATGACTCACTAAGAGAGTAATATACACAATACCGTGAAGCATTTGACTAATTTCTTTGGAACTGAAATACCCTCATTGCTAATAGCGCGAAATGTCTCCAACACTGGCCAAACAAAACCATACCCAATACCCATAATCACGCTTCCTACTACTCTGACAACTGTCCACAATGCGATTGGTATTGGGACTGTTGGAATCAATAAGCACTTCATCCATGGACCGAGTTTCTTTGTTCTGTTCTTCAACAAAGTTAAAAGTTTCCTCTCAATTGCTTGCATATCTCATCACTCAATTTGATTGCAGAGAAAATTAAGAAGATGAGAAGGAAGTGAAACAAGTAGTTGAAATTTGAATACATCTTCTCAGCAACCAAACAGATTCAATGGAAGGCAATAAAGAAATAAACAAGTCAAAACCTTGCTATGCAGTATATACTCCACACAAGATGGCAAGGCCATAAACCAAACACCACAGCAGCATCTCCAAAAGCAATTACTAAGAACACAAAGGGGCTGAATATAGCTTCTGCATTCAAATCCATTCATGGATTCAATCATGTAAGGTGTGAGAGAAAAACATAAACAAGAGAGAGAAAATGAAAGTAAAAAAAGAAAAAAGAAAAAACCTTTGATGATGCCCAGAACAAAAAGGAACAGAAAGACAGAGAGGAAGGAGAGGAAGTAACTGTTGTTATTTTTCAAGAACAGTGACAAAATAAGAACATATAAGAACAAAAATGAGCTGCCAAAATGACCTTAATATTTTATTGACTGGAAAGTGCTTTATATACATGAAAAATATAACAGAAATGCATAACAACTTGCAAAGAAATAGCATCACAAGCCCATGAATAGATGAGCTTATCTTCTAGTTTCCTATTTTCTAGTAACAACTACTTTGAAGCTTTCAAACGTTTTGACTTATTCAAAAATACTCCAGCAACTTTATTTCAGCAATCTTTGAATATCTTAGAAGCCTACTCAACATGACACATCAACAGCTGAGTCATCTTCTCAACACTCCTCCTTGGATTAGTTGCTGCTCATTCCCAATTTTTCTCTTAGGAATTCAAAACTTGCTTTAGAAAGTGCTTTTGTTAGAATATCAGCAACCTGATTTTCTGTTTTGCAATGGACCAACAGTACTTCTCCTTCTTTCTGTACTTCCCTGAGAAAGTAAGTTTAATCTTAAAATGCTTTGTTTTCCCATGAAAAATTGGATTGTTAGATATAGATATAGCAGCTTGGTTATCAACAAAAATTTGTGTGGACTCCTCCTATTCCATATGCAGATCTATTAACAATTTCCTAAACCACAGAGCTTGGTTTATAGCGGCTGTAGCAGCCGCATATTCAGCTTCAGCAGTACTTTGTGCAATAATCTCTTGTTTCCTTGAACACCAGGAGAACATGCCTGATCCAAAACTAAAGCAAAAACCAGTTGTACTTCTCATATCATCAATAAAACCTCCCCAATCACTGTCAGAGAAGCCATGGAACTTAAAATCTGAACAATGAGTGAACTTTATGCCATAATTGACAGTGCCTTTGATATACCTCAATATCCTCTTTGCAGCTTGAAAATGCACCTCACTTGCACAGTGCATAAACCTCGAAAGCAAACTCACAGCATGCATTATGTCAGGTCGGGTTGTTGTAAGATACATTAAGCAACCAATCAAACTCCTGTACAAACCTTCATCAACCTTGTCAGCTCCATCATCCTTGCTAAATTTCTCTTTCTGATTCATAGGAGTTGATGTAGCTTTGCAATCTTCCATGTGAAATTTTTTTAGGATCTCCTTTGCATACTTTTGTTGGCAGATAAAGACTTCATGTTGCCTTTGCTTTACTTCCATTCCCAGAAAATAGGACATCAAGCCCAAATTTGTCATCTCAAACACCTTAAGCATCTCTGCTTTAAATTCCTTTATAAGATCCTCATTGCTCCCTGTTATAAGCAAGTCATCAACATAAACAGACACAACAATTAAGTCAGTAGCCTCCTTCACGTAAAGAGTAAATTCACTTAGACTTTTTACAAAGCCTAGGCTTAATAAGTGGCTATCTATTCTGATGTACCAGGCCCTTGGTGCCTGTTTAAGACCATATAATGCCTTTTTCAGCAAATACACTTTATCCTCATGCCCCTACATAACAAATCCCTCTGGCTGCTCTACATATATTTCCTCCTGCAAAAAACCATTCAAAAAAGCTGATTCAACATCTAGTTGATAGATCTTCCAATCTTTTTGTGCTGCAATTGCTAGCAGCAACCTGATTGTATCTAACCTTGCCACAGGTGCAAAGGTCTCGAAGAAATCAACACCATAGATTTGAGTATAACCCTTCACCACTAGCCTTGCTTTATACTTGTTAACTGATCCATCTGCATTTAACTTGGTTCTAAACACCCATTTAACTCCTATAATCTTCCTATTTTGAGGTTTTTCCATAAGCTCCCAAATGTGATTTTTCTCTATCATTCTCATCTCCTCTTTCATAGCTTCCATCCATTTCTGATCATTTTTAGCTTCTTCAAATCCTGTAGGCTCCGTTACAGCAACATTGCATCTTTGATAAATGTCATAAAGCAATCTTGCTCCCCTAACTGGTGGGTCATCAACATTGTCTTCAGAAGGTTGCAAATTTTCTAAAAATTGTTCTTTTTCTCCATCATCCCAATTCCATTGTTCATTCTCTATGAAAGTAACGTCTCTACTTATCAAAATTTTCCCTGTTTGAGGATGGAAAACTCTGTAAGCTTTAGAGATGTTGCTATAACCAATAAAGATTCCGGGTTCTGCTTTCTTATCAAGCTTGTCTCTCTTCACCTGAGGCACATATGAAAAACACAGACAACCAAATACTTTGAAGTTATGTAGTGAAGGTTTGTATCCATACCAAGCCTCAAAGGGTGTTTTTCTTTTCAAAGCCCTTGTTGGAAGTCTGTTAAGTAGAAAAATAGCAGTATTTGCAGCCTTTGCCCAGAATTTTTTTTGCAGCCCTTTTTCATGTAGCAGACATCTAGTCATCTCCATGAGTGTTCTATTCTTCCTCTCACTTACTCTATTTTGTTGTGGAGTGTATGGAGCTGTCAGTTGGTGCTCGATTCCAGCTTCTTCACAAAACAAATCGAATTGTTCTGAGGTGTATTCCTTGCCATTATCCGATCTTAATACTTGCATCTTGCAGCCACTCTGGTTTTCCACCCAAGCTGTGAATTTCCAGAACACAGCTGCAACCTCAGATTTAAACCTCAAGAAGTAAATCCAACACATTCTTGTTAAATCATCTATAAAAACAATATAATATTTACTTCCCTTTAATGATGGGGTTCTCTGAGGCCCTCCAAGATCAGTATGTATTAGTTGCAGCTTCTGTGAAGCCTTCCAGGGCTTTTTAGGAAATGGCAATCTACTTTGTTTTCCATATTGACATGCCTTGCAGCCAAGTAGATGCTCTTCTAGTGGAGGTAACCCTTGTACCAGCTGATTTTTCTGCATATATATGAGTGCTCCATGGTGAAAATGGCCTAATCTCTTGTGCCAAATTTCTATTGTGTTCATAGAGACTTGATATACTGTCTGCTCCTCCGTCATTGGATCCAGAGAGAAGTACTTGCCTCTCATTTTGATTGTACACACCTCGCGGCCATCTGCATCTCTAATCATACACTTTTTATCTTCAAACAACAGTTTATAGCCTTTTTCCAGTAGTTGACCAACACTTAGCAAATTTTGATCAATTCTAGGCACATATAAAACATCAGTGATTAGTTTTGTACCTAAAACACTTTCAATTGCTACTGTCCCTTTGCCTCTTACTTCAATGAACTCACCATTTCCAACCTTGACTTTGGAAATTTTAGTTCTATCCAGCTCTTTAAAGAGCTCTTTGTCATAGGTCATATGGTTTGTGCAGCCACTATCAACTAACCAGTGTTCATTAGAGCTTTTGCTTGCATAACATGAGGCAACAAACAGGTGCTCCTCCTCCTGCTGATCCACCATTTTAGCTTCACCTTCTTGCTGTTGTTTGCTTCTACAAACCTTCTCTATGTGGCCTAACTGGTTGCACTTCCTGCACTTGATGTCAGGCCTCCACCAACACTTAGATTGAGGATGATTAAAAAACCTTTGATGATGCCCAGAACAAAAAGGAACAGAAAGACAGGGAGGAAGGAGAGGAAGTAACTGTTGTTATTTTTCAAGAACAGTGACAAAATAAAAACATATAAGAACAAAAATGAGCTGCCAAAATGACCTTAATATTTTATTGACTGGAAAGTGCTTTATATACATGAAAAATATAACAGAAATGCATAACAACTTGCAAAGAAATAGCATCACAAACCCATGAATAGATGAGCTTATCTTCTAGTTTCCTATTTTCTAGTAACAACTACTTTGAAGCTTTCAAACGTTTTGACTTATTCAAAAATACTCCAGCAACTTTATTTCAGCAATCTTTGAATATCTTAGAAGCCTACTCAACATGACACATCAGCAGCTGAGTCATCTTCTCAACACTCCTCCTTGGATCAGTTGCTACTCATTCCCAATTTTTCTCTTAGGAATTCAAACATTGCTTTAGAAAGTGCTTTTGTTAGAATATCAGCAACCTGATTTTCTGTTTTGCAATGGACCAACAGTACTTCTCCTTCTTTCTGTACTTCCCTGAGAAAGTAAAGTTTAATCTTAAAATGCTTTTTTTTCCCATGAAAAATTGGATTGTTAGATATAGATATAGCAGCTTGGTTATCAACAAAAATTTGTGTGGACTCCTCCTGTTCCATATGCAGATCTATTAACAATTTCCTAAACCACAAAGCTTGGTTTACAGCGGCTGTAGCAGCCACATATTCAGCTTCA